GTTTCAGCAGCACACAAAGCTGACTGTCCTCCTTCCAAACTCAGCCTGGCTCTGTGTAGCTCTGTTATCATGGCAGTATGAGTGGGCCGGTGGGACCTGCACTGGCATGTGCAGAGCAGTGGGATGCTTCAGGACATAGGATTTTATTTTTGGAGGGGGTGTTGAGCTGTGTGCAGTGAAATAATGCCTAAGGTTGTGTTTTGAGCTTTGAAATACATGTGGGCTCTTTCATCATCTCTTTTAATCCAGTATCCAAGTTGGCTACCAGTAAATGCTGAGGGAGAGGGTATTACAAGTGAACTGGGACAGGGCGGTCTTTTCCCTGCTGTGCTGTCCCGCTCCGTTAGTCGTGTGGATTGCAGGGCTTCCTGTGCCACCATTCTGTAGGTCACCATCAGTTCTGTTAAGCTGCAAAGTCTGTTTTGAATCTTTCTGTACTTTTAGTCTCTAAAGCACCTTGTATTTCCATCATGCAGCTGATACAGCATCAAAAAACGCTTATTAGCAAACGAGTGTTCTTCTGCTCATGTTTCTTGATTCCCTAAATGATCACTAAGTCTTTAGTGGGAAAAGGAGGTTCTCCTGTGTGTGCTGGCTGTGGTTTGTGACTGGTGGGTAGCTCGCCGGCGTGCGTACGTATCCAGTCTTTGTGGTGCTTGATGTAGTGAGCGTAATCTCTTAGGCTGTTGGGTTGTGGTTAATGAAACACAGTAATAGAAACGGTGCTTTTGAGGCAGCTGTTCTCCTGCTGGATAGAGAAATGAATACGTGGCACCTAGGTATTTGCACTGGTACCTTGTATCGGGATTCTGTCTGGAGAGCAGTTTGCAACACCGTGAAGCACTCAGCAGCTTCATAAAGTTCTTTTCTGACTGAGAAGCCACTTCAGGAAGCTGTTACGAACAGTAAGTAGAGCAGGCAACAGTGATCCTGAAAATAAGCTCTTTTTTTTAAATGAAGTACGTGCCATCTTTGATTTCAAATGCTGACAGAAGGTCGATCAGGATGGTGCTGGTTTCACAATAAATCATTCCGTTGTAAAGAGACAAATCTGCCAAGCTGCTGAGTCGTGGTGAAGTCACTGCTGTGTCGGTCCGATGCATGCGCAGATGAGGTGCTCAGAGATGAAAGCATGTGTGGATCTTTCCCTTCTGAGTCGGTCAAGAAAAGCTCTAATTACATAGTGGCCACTTACTGTTTGGGAGGAGTTGTTAATTACGGTGGCATCATCAAGTACTCCTGATTAGCAAGTGCGATTCCATTCTATGTGCTGTTCATTTTTTTAATTCTCTAAATGGCTAACAACAGTTGTTAATGGAAAAAGAATACAGTAGTTTGACTGTAGTTACTGGCTGTTGCTGATAATGAAATCCTTCACTATGGTGGTTTGTTGTCTTGAGAAACAAAACCCATTAGCAAGTTGTCCAGTTGTTCCTGCTAGCTGACCAAATAATACTGGTGACTGACTTTCTAGGGTATTCAGTAGAGCAGTGGTGTTTATGAGCACCCAAGCCTTCGATCCAGAAAACGTTACCCTAGAATTATAGATTCTATATTATAGGTAATATTGAGCATTAGAAAAGCAAACCAGCCAAGATCCTTCTCGTAGGAGCTGCAGGTCCTGCTGTAGAAAGGTGAAAGGTGACATCAGCCGTGGGGAGGAGCTCCAGTAAGACTATGTCAGATAAATATTTTGTGGAGTTTTTGATAGTTAAGTGTGGTAGCAGCAGTCTGGGACCAGGAGCTTGTTCTCACTATGGCGGTACGCATTTAGAACAAGAAACAAGTTGACATGATGAGGTGGGCAGAGGAAAAGATGAAGTGATGAGGTGCTGAGGTGGTCCGTCTGTAAAGTCTGAGAGGTTGTTAGAGCAGAAATAATGAAAGTAGCAGGGTTACGGAGAGATTGGGGAATGGATCGAAGTATCTGGGGACAGTGTCCCAAGGGAAAAGTGGTAGAACATGATCAGAAGGACTGCGAGACCAGGTTGCAGGTAATGCTGGGGATGGAGAGGAATGGAGGAGATCTTATTAAAATTACAAAGGGTAATGATTAAGAAAAAATTTATTCAGGTGGCAAATAGCTACAGTCAGTAATGGCATCGTGGGGGGGATTGTAAAATCGAACTCGGAGCAAAGGTATGCCAGGCAGCTTCGTGTGAGCTACTGCCAAGCAGTCCACCACGTGTCTGAGCTCAGCACTACCCCCATTCACCCTGAGCAGGTTACCACCCTGAGGCCTGACAGCGGTGAAAATCTCTGCATTGTTCAAACTGACTTTCCTTCCAACCACTCACCAGTCAGCTCCCCATTTCAGAGGTGTATTTAGTCTGGGTGCCAGAAACTCAAATTTTTTGTGGAGTCCGCTGTTCCGAGGGAAATTCTCAGGGATGAAGTGCACCCTGCAGCTTGAAACTGTATATTTTGTCTGTAAACAAGTATTTCAGGTGAATGTGCAACTTGGAGCTGTCTTATATGAAAGTGTGTCAGGAAAAACAACCTATTCTGCAATATCTGCCCCGGTAAGCAGTTGCTGAGGTAAGAGCATGAACACGGGCAGTTGATGTGAACAAGTTACAGTGTGAACTGGAGCCTTTCTCTTCTAAAATAAATAAGAGGCAACACTTTTTTGTGTTGCAGAGTAGTGTGGCGAATCTGAGATCCCGCTTTGAGGGTCTCGTTATGTTGAGATCGACACGTTGGCACTTAATTCTTTGATGTTGTGCTCAGACCACGTTTTGCTAAATGTCTGTTTATTGCTTTGCACAGAACTGTTTCGCGAGGCGTGAACTTACAGGGACTAAACCTAAACTTTTTCAGAAACGACGTCCGATCAGAGTGACATCGAAGGACGGATCAGGGCCCTGAAGGATGAACTACGGAAGAGGAAGTCTGTGGTTTACCAGCTGAAAAAGGAACAGAAAAAGAGACAAAAGGAGAGACTGAAGGCCCAGGAAGCCAGTTTGATCAAACAACTGGAGGTTAGGAAAAGAAGGGCGAAGTAAAAGATAGTTAGCCTTGGATAACTCGCAGTAGTATGGGTGTTGCTGGCAGGATATTGTATCAACACGGTGAAAGACACGTCGCTGTGCTAGAAGTGTGACTCTGTTCTGGCTATTTAACTGTTTTCGATAATGAACCAGAGCCTTGAGGCAAAAATACATGTTTTAAAAGGGATCTTTAATGGGTTACCAGCAGTGTTAAGGGAAGGGAGCTTTTATATACGTTTATACACATTAGTTTCCTAGCCTGGAGTAAAGAGCGATGCTCATGTAGCTTGTTTTTGGAAGTGAAGTATTAAGAATTCTAGGATTCACAAGTGTACAACTTTAGGAAGCTAAATAGATTGTTTTAGAGAGAAACCGAGTGTATCCTGTATTCATTTAATAGGTTTTGATTGCTGAACTGTCAGTGTGGTTTAGTAGACTAACAGCTGTACCTGTTTTCCATGTGCAGTCCTATGATGAGTTTATCAAGAAGACTGAAGCAGAGCTGAGCCAAGACCTGGAGGCGTCGCCCACAGCCAAACCTCAGATTAAAACTCCATCCTCAGCTGCTGCCGAAAAACCGAAGATCAAGGCACCACCGCTCCACAGGTAACTGGGGTGTTGTCTTCTTTTTGAGGGCGCTCTGAAACTGCGGAATGCTGGTTTAGCAGAAACCCTGAGCGCAAGGAAAGCTGCTCTTCCTTAAAGCGAGGGGCAGGCAGTGTCCTGTTGACCTATTTGGTCTCATCAGACCCAAACCAGATAAGATGTACTGTCGCTGTAATCATGCGTATCTCATTTTTGTCCTGCCCAATTAGATTCTATTTTCAAGTTCTTCCTGAACAATACTTTTCACTTGTGCAAGAATGTGCCAAATAGTTGTATGGGTTGCTGACCCAATTTTTTCCCCCTTTTGGTCACCCATTGTGCACGCCACACCGTGAGGCAAACTATTCGTCTCCTAACTTAAATCTGCTTTAGATCTTGCTTGAATTCACTACCTTTTTAAAACCCAACTTCTGCGCTTCCTACTGTGTTTAAGTGCTTCATGTTTTTTCCAGCAGATGGTGCAATTTTAGTGCATTCACATAAAAATAAAAATTATTTCCTTTTTCTCTTCTTCGGCTGCAGAAAAATTTAGTTTGATTACTCTTCTAGAAGATTACTTTGCAGCACTTGTCCAACTCTCTGTCCCCATTCCGATTTTCTAAGGTCACAGTATGTTGACAACCCAAACTGTTTGTGTCATCACTGGTGTGGTATTATAATTATAGATGCTTGTATTTCTGTTTTTATCTATTTTTAAAAAAAACATACACACACTCTGGTGTAACCGCGATTCATGCAATTAGATATTTTTTAATTTTAGGCCTGAGACAGCTAAAAGCTGGAAATCACTGGCTGAATCGGAGCGATCCAGAGCATCTTTGGAATCCATTTCAGAACATGCAGGTATGTGACTGGAAGAATCTGTACTACGGATGAAGATCTTGAACACCGACTGTTCTAAACTCCTTTAATCTTTTCCTTCTTGATTAAAGAAGAGGTTTTAAGAGAGCGGGCAGGCTTCATAACACCATAATGATCAAGCTGTTATTTTTTCCTGTTTTTATTTAGTAGGCTTCTGCTTTTGCTGTTTCCTGTAAATTCAGTATTTGGTTTTACTCTTGCTGAGCTTTATGTGAAACCATAATTACGTGACAACCTTTTTCCTTCCTTTGCTTTCCGGTTCCTTTATGACTTGAGGAAAATAAGGAAACCAAAAATAATGAAGGCTGTAGGAATAGGTTTTTTTTTTTTTTTTAGATACTTTTCAGTATTTTGCTGTTGATCGTTATCTCATCGTTATTAGCTGTTTTAATCTTGGCTGATTTTGTGTCTTGCAAACCAGTAACTGAGCCCTCGCTCCCAAACGTGTTGCTCCTGTTCGTAGAACAGCTAGAAGTCATGTTTCCAAGGCACCAGTTGGTATCCGCTTTTAGCGTAGAAACCTTGATGGCAATTTTGTTGCCTGCGGTTGCAGTTTTTGGGAAAACAGTGGGGGTTATACCATCTGCTGTAATTCACTTTTCATTTTCCTTCAAGATGCTGTGTCATCGAGAAGTGAGAGATCTGTGTCTGTGCACACCAAGAAGGTGGCTGTGACAGATACTCATGCAGAAGAACCTTCTGGAGCATATTCCTCGTTTTTAATGTCACCAAGGAGTTCCAGAGCAGGATCTGGCGATTCCTTAGATAATGTTCCCTTATTATCTCTTCTCAAAGATGTGAAAGACATTAGCAGGGTACCCCATGGGTCAACAAACAATGCAGTAAATGTGGCATCCAGTGATGAGGCTGCCTTCAGTCATAAATCTGAGCTACAGGAAGACTTGGAATACCTGAAGTCCAAGGAATACGAGATTGGAGGTTCTCATGTGAAGCCTGTGGAGAGTTCTGATGTCTTGCTGACATTAGCTAAAGAACAGGAGAGCTCTCTGGACATCCTTCCAAAGCAAGCCCTCTGTTCTGAAAAGGAACATTCGCAGAAGGAACTCTTTGATTTGGCTGTGGGGAGTCTTAGTGGTACAGAAGGAATCTGGGGAGAGAGACTGGCAGAGAAAAATGCTGTAACTGGCTCCAGCGTGGAAGATTCTTTTCGCAAACTGAGCAGATCAGCAGAGGAAAAAAGTCACCTGCTGTCGGAGCAGCTGGGTAGTCAAAATGAGCCATCGTACCTTGAAGACTTTGAAGGATCCTCTTCCAGAAAGCAAGCATCGGTTGAAGAAATGCTTCCCGAGGAACGTTCCAAAGATGAGTTTGAAGCATCTCTCCTGTCTCCGCAGTCACTGACGGGGCGGTCACAGCACACACAGACCAGCAGAAGCAGATCCACCAGCCTTGGCAGCGATGGCGAAGTCAGTGAATACCTCAGTGACAGGTCTTTGTCTCTCTCTGGCAGCTTGCATTCAGAGGGGTTGTTAGAACTCAAGTCCCCAACAGAACTTATAAAAAATACTGAACGCAGAGATGTAGAGCAAGAACAAGCCCCTGCCGAATCACCGCTCTGGGCCTCTGTTTCGATCGCGGAAGAAACGGATAGTTTGCCAAACTTCAGCATTGGCGATAGAGTACTTGTGAGTCAAGTCCAACCTGGAACATTGCGATTCAAAGGTCTGACTAGGTTTGCCAAAGGATTCTGGGCTGGCGTGGAGTTGGATAAACCTGAAGGGAACAATAATGGAACTTATGACGGTATTAAATATTTTGATTGCAAAGAAAAACATGGTATTTTTGCTCCTCCTCAAAAAATCTCGCACATTACAGAAAGTATTGATGGCCATTTAGACACAAATGAGGATGAAGACTCGTTCTTCGGTGACAGGCTGGAGAAGCAACACAAAGCTGAGCAGGAAGACAGAGGAAGTTCCAAACCTGCCAAAGAAGATGAAAGCCGGAGCAGAGATACAACGGAGAACTATTCCCAGGGTAAAGCTCCAGCAGACACAGCTGTTTCCGAAGCCTCAGGTGAGGAAGCAGTTGATGAGGAGTTGTCTTCTCAAGCAAGCAGCATAAAGGAGATTTCTGTAGCTACTGAATCGCTTGCCCAGGAAATGTCGGTGGTGGATTATCTGAAGCATGCTGTAATCCAGGAGGCCAGCCTTGCTCCCCTCGTTTCTAGCGGCGTGGATGAGATTTCTGCTGTTCAGGTGGATGACATCTCAGATTTTCTGTCTGAAAAACTGGAAAGGCAGAAGACGCTGGGGGAAGAATGTGCGGAAAAGCTAGATGATCTCTCTCCTGGACTTGCGGAGAAGCCTGCAACTCCCCTTCTGGATTTGCTGACAAAAGAGAAGAGCCAGTTAGAAGCCCAGCTTCGAGTACCACTTAGAGAGGAAGAAAAGTCGAAAGACCAACTGGAAAAGGTCAGTCTGCTGACAGACAGTCTCCTTCAAGATTTTGTGAAAGACACTGTCAATCAGTTACAGCGAATAAAGAAGGTCAAGAATGAGAAAATCCAGCTCAGCAACCAGGAGCTCTGTGATGTGAAGGCAGAATCCAGTAGCCCATCCCAGCGGGAAGAAAAACAGGTTCCCAATGGACTGAATAACTTCTTTCTAAGTTCCGATTTGGAAGATGAAAGAGAAGAGCTTTCCTCACCAGACCTGTGTCCCAGACCAGTGAGTAACAGACACCTTGCATTGATTTTTCAGGGTCGATTGTTCCTTTGGCTGCTGATGATTGAGGAGCAGTGTGTGGCACCAGTCTCTTGTGTCCCAGGTTCTGTTTGGTGATGCAGAGGTTGCCTGTACGTGTGTGTCTGATGTGTGTTCTTGCGTGTCCCGGTTCACGGCTCGTTTTGGCAACCCCGCAGGCCGAAGGACGCATTTTGGCCCGTCGGAGTGAGAAATACTTCACTTGGGTAGCATTCTGCTTACAAGTTCAATTTGTATTTAATCCTTACCCTCAGTTTTTAGTCTAAAAATGGCAAAATGCAATAGACTGTAGTCCAACCTCTATCTGTTCTTGATATGAAATAATTGTCCTCAAACATCGTTAGTTGCTGTGGAGGTCATTAAGGTGTCAAGACTGCTTTATCCGCTGACTCCTGTAGTGGAAGTTCAGGCTTCCTCAGACCAACGTTACCGGTACAGACGCGGGGCTTGGCGTTTCTGCTGAGTCCCAGTAAACCTGTCTGCTTTGCCGCTGATCTCCATAGGTGGTCGCCACAGAAAGCGCCGGCCCGTTTCACCTACACAAGCACCGCTCAGTCGCCAAAACAGCCATCGGCTCCTAAAGCTGTTGGGCTGTTGATTTAGATGTGAGACTGCTGCGAAGTGAAGAGTTGGATGTCACATTATCAGTTTTTGAACCGTTCATAAACTTTTTATAAACAGTTAAACATCAGGACAGACAGTGGGCAGGACACGCAGGTTTTTAAGCTCTGCGGGAACCCTCTGAAAAGCATTCATCAGGGTGGTGGAAACCCCAGGTATTTGAGTCAAAACATTTCCAGCATTACTGTGGGCTGTTTCTTATTTGTCTGAGTATTTGGGCCTATGTTGCCTATTAGATCAGTAAAGCATTTAAAAATGTAAGTTGAGTTAGACAGCAGTGTGACACCGCTTTTGTATTGGCTGTGTGGCTCTTAACTCATAGGAGAGTCCGGTGTTCGGTGCCAGTGGTCAGGAAGAGCTTGCCAAGAGACTGGCGGAGCTGGAGCTCAGTCAGGAGTTCCTGAGTGTGCTGGGAGATGATCAAGACTGGTTTGATGAGGACTATGGCCTGAGTTCCCGTAAAGTCCAGCAGAAGCAAGCCGAGGAACCGGCAGTGCTGCCCAAGGTGGAGCCGCAGAAAGCGCCGGCGAAGGCGGGCGAGGAGCTGTTGGCCGTCCCTCACACTGCGGTGGAGGTGGAAGGTATGGTGCATGCAGCAGCTGAGGAGCTCTGGAGGCTGAAGGAGCTGGGTCATGATCCGCAAAGCTTCAGCCTTCACACGGATCTTAGTTCTACCCTCAAAGAGCAGGACACCGACACCATCAACAAGCAGGTTTATAAAAAGGTACGGTCTTTAGGCAGTTTGTTCTTGCCCTTTGAATGCTTGAACAACAAAAACCTGAACTTCTACTGCTTTCTTTGCTAAGGTGGTGTTTGATTTAACAAGAGAGATCTTTGGGGAGATCTTCGCGGAGGATCCTAATCTAAATCAGCCTATTTGGATGAAACCGTGTAGGATCACATCTGCTTACTTTCGCCGAGTAAAAGATCCAAATGATCTGGATGAAATCAAGGTGGGGAAAAATCTTTGTCATGCAGGTGACGTGAGGTGAAAAATACTGTACTAGCACTTGCCTGAGTGTTAGAAGGTCACAGCAGGTCTGGTCAGTAGGGGATGGGTTGAGAAATGAGGTTACCAACCCGAAAGGGACTTTGTTGAAATACTTTTTTACTCGATAGATTTGCCTCCTGTCCTCTGGGCTGCTACAGGTTGCTTTTAAACCTTAGTGCCCTGTGCAGAACTGCCAGGAGGACCTCGGTCTTACAGAATTGGTATGACAGGCTGCTGCCTTAGCAGGTTTCAATGGAGCTCTGTCCCGGCATATTGGTATGGATCCAACGGGAGGGTTGGGCCGAATGGGATGAGCTGAGGTTTTTACTCACACACCTATGCCAGCCTCGCTGAGGACGATGGGCGTTGCCCAGAGGGACACAAAATTTGGTTGGTTGAGGGCATTGTTGCATTTGGCAGCTGGAGTGGGTCTCCTGTTATTAGTGGTAGTGCCCAAGAAAGGACAAAACCCCAAAAAGCTAGAGCCTGGCTGGATCTAGGTTAAACTTGCGGGGGGGGCATTTGGAAAAATACCTGTCTGCCTGAGAAGGCTCGCCAAGGGACCATCCTCACAGCTCATCGGGGCACAGCTGAAGACTTCTCCTGTACTTCTGAAATCGCAGGGGGGGTGTGACTGTGTCTTCATTAACCTGCCGAAGATGCAGCCCGGTAGCTGTCTAGAGAAGACAGAAATCGTATCTAGATCACTCTGTTAGTTGAGAAGACTTTCAGAAGCATGTGGCAGGGGTGATGAGGGGTACAGGGCAAGGACACCAAACTCCCACCCTGCTTTACTTTCGGATTCTCCCATAAAATGAACCGTCAAGCTCCTGTTTGCACCGTTTAATTGAAAGCTGCTGTTCTCAGGACTGTTACAGCAGTGGGTGTCATTCCTCCCCTTCACCCCACCCCACTTGTGGATTTAATAATTGTTCTGGCTGTGTAATGCTGCCTCAAAGACTTTCACTGGGAGTTTCTTGCCCACAGAGCGTCCCTTTGCGCGACAGCTTTCTGGTGGGCTTTCTGTAGTGTGACTGTTTAGGGTGGGTGCTTTACGAACCCGTTTCACTTCTTAGCTCAAGTGTGATCCGTCTCCCCTTTGCCGTTCTCTAGAGCTTCATCGCAGCTGAAGTACTCAAGTTATTCAGCCTGAGGAAGGAGCCCAGTCACAAAACAGACTGGCAGAAGATGATGAAATTTGGGCGGAAGAAACGAGACCGAGTGGATCACATACTGGTCAGTGGATGCAAAGAAGCAGTCGTGTCAGATAGAGCCCGCCACGCGGAAGCGTGGCACATAGTTGTGTTTTTCAGTGTGCAGTCATGCTGTTTAAAGAGCACAGAGTGTGCGTGAGGTCTTGGTGGAAGGTGTTTGATTTCAGAGAGCGCCCTGTTGATGACAACAGAAGTCCAGTGCCGGTGAAGTACGGTGACTTGATTGAATTCGGTTTGTGCCTACTGGTTTGACTGGGCTATGCAAATTTGCACCCTCCCAAAAAGTTAAAAGCATGAATTTACAGAAGGAAACGTTGAAATATTTGACTGAGAGTAAACTTTAACTGGGATGGGGATATGTTTTTCTTCTTGCTTGAAGTAATGCTGTTTAAGTGGAGTCAGCGATAGCGAGAACTTAATAGACCGGGTCGGCAGCCTCTCAGTCGAATTGGCTTCGAAGAGGCCGCGTGGGAGACGATAATCCCTAGTGCAAGGGAAGCGGTCTGCCAGGTGGTCCTTCGGCTCCTGTCGTGCTTGTCACGAAGTAGCTGCGGCAGGGGCAGGTGGGCGTTAAAACTGCGTCAGATGGAGCGTGTCTGGCTGTGTACTGGTTTCTGAAAGTTACTTGTTGGCTTGTATTGCGGGATGATTAACATCTTTATTGGCTTTAATGATAGTGAAGGTTCTGCTTGGGAATATGAGTCGTCATTAACACCGTGCTTCACTTAATTATACCCAAAATTGATTCCACACATGCACACGTATAAGTAACTTCAAGTCATGGGTCATGCGAGCTTTTAATTGCCCATCAGTGGAAGGTTTCCAACACAGGCTTTTTCCCAGGGGTTTAATTCCAATGGAATGTAAATAGAATACGTATGTATAGGACCTGCATATCCTAGTACGCTTGATTCTGGGATGTGGAGGCTGTTAACGCATGCACAGAAAAATTTTATGTTTAGATCCCCATGAGAACTAATAGCACAACTATTATGCTTATATACCAATTTCCTAATTTCTTTGAACCGTACATGGGTTCAAACTGGAAAAAATTGTTCTAGTTGAAGGCATCCAAAGTGCTTTAGGTGCAATAAGTTTGACGTTCAGACGGTCTGGTCTGTGATTCACGTGCAGACCCAGGCATCAGAGATTAATGGAATTCTGTCAAGTTTGGCTCAGTAAATAATGTGTTTAGTCTTATTTTGTTCTCACAAGAATATGGTAATAAAATTTTAGCTGAAGGCTGGGAATAACTCCGTGAAGATTGCGGTATGCCATGCTTTGGGAATAAGGCAGTCTCAGTGGGATTGCTAACGAATTCACACTGTAACGTGAGACACTACCAGAGAAACTACTAACTGAAAACCTAAGGGGAGAGTGTGCAATTGCTCTTGCCTTGTTTTATTGAAATCTCTACAAAACGTGAACTATCTGGATAGCTTTCTCCGTCCCCTCATAAGCCTCCACCTTGTGCTTAAGTTCATGAGGATTTGTGTTATCACAGAACGAGGTTGTAGTAAGTGGGTGTAGAGGTCTGTGTGAGATCTGTACAGGTAGTACAGATAGAGGGACTGCAGGAGGGAGTAGCAGAGGGGCTACTGCTTCACGGTGTAGCCTTAAACTGAGAGGTCAGGTTTGGGGTTTTCCAAATTTTGTTTAAAGTAAATTCGAGTAGTTCAACACAGCAATTTCCTGAAAGAGAAATCAAGACTTTTTTTGGTAGTGGTTTTTGTAGAAGCATAGTTAGAAATCACAGGCGGAAATCCTTTGTTCCACATTTTTCTGAGATTTGGCCAATACCATAGAATCACAGAACGGTTTGGGTTGGAAGGGACCTTAAAGACCATCTAGTTCCAACCCCCCTGCCATGGGCAGGGACACCTTCCACCAGACCAGGTTGCTCCAAGCCTCATCCAGCCTGGCCTTGGACACTTCCAGGGATGGGGCATCCACAGCTTCTCTGGGCAACCTGTCCCAGTGCCTCCCCACCCTCTCAGAGAAGAACTTCTTCCCGATGTCCAATCTAAACCTCCCCACTTCCAGTTTAAACCCCTCTATATGCACCCCTTGCAGTGTGGGGGGATGTCATCTGAGCTGATTGATTCTCCCTGTTATTTTCCTGCTTATGAAGACAAAGACTGTTAAAATAAAACATTACCTTTTCAAAGCAGTGGTAAACATTCTTAGAGGTTAGCAGAAATGCAGACAAAGCAGAGGTAGATGTTCTGAGACATCTCTGAAGCATTAAAACATTAAGCACAGGTCCTTTTCTGTTTATTCATTTCCCCTTGAAGTATTACGAACCTTCAAATGAGTTTTCTGTTGAGACAACTATATATTTTTAGTGTCTTTGAGAGGGTTTCTGACCCAGGGGCGAGGTGTGACTGGGGGAGGGGGTTTGATACAGAGGAAGGGGAGTCTTGTACACCTCCTGCTGCAGGATATTAGTAATGATTGTCAAATAGTGACTTTGTCTGCCTGGGTAGTCAAGTGGCTCTAAAACCAGGAGCCATGGCTCTTTTGAGTTTCTTTTTGTTTCTTCAGAAGGCATAGAGCAGGTGCCACGCTGTTCTGCCCAGCTTAGTCTCTCCCTGATTGTTCCTGGATGCATCTTTCTGGATTTATCATACTAAACCCAATTCCCAGCAGTTCCTGTCTCCACCAAAGCTTCAGCCCCACGGGGAAGGGGCAGGGCAGTAGAAGCAGCCTGCGCTGGTGCTCACGGCTGCCTATTCCTGTGGATGACTGCCGTCAGCCATCGCTCCCACTGGAAATTAAGGATGAATCAGTCCTTCACCTGCTTGCTCTGCCTTGAGCTTTGCTGCTCCCTCCAGCCACTGCATCTTTAGTTGCATTTTCACTCTCGTCTGCTCTTTCCAGCGTCGACACCAACGTAGTTCACCGTGGTTTTCGGCTGGTGACAAAACCCCCACCCTCCTCCTCCTCCTCCTGTTTGCAGCAGCGTTAACCTCGATCAGGCATCTCTGCCGTCAGGAGGCATCTGCAGTGGGATTTCCTAGAGTGCTCCGGGCTGCTGGGGAGTTGTTAACAGCCGGAGCAACTGCAGCAAAGCCTGCCTTTCAGTAAGCACGTACCGGCAGTTCACGCTTACGAAGAGCTACGTGGTTTAAAAACAAGTTAAAGGGCCGTTTGGGTGTTTGCTTTCTTCTCGTGACCCTCGGGGTTGCCACCCTTATCGTCTGTATGCCCTCTGCTTGCTGGGAGAATCTCAGATGTACGCGTGGGCTGAGGCGCTGCGTTTCGGTACATCCGGGCTGCCTGGTCCTTTCAAAACCTCTTTTCAAACTACAGCAAGAACCCTCCTCTCTCATTTGAGTTCAGGGGCTAACAATAGACTGTTCACACTACTTGAGTTTTTTTTTCCTTTGGCTCCTCAGCCAAAACTCCCTGTGCTGATTCCTTTGCACAAACTCTGCCATTGCTTTCCCTGCCACCCCGCCTTCCCTTTTGTCTGGAACTTGAGACAGCAAAGCTCATGTGACAGTGCCAAACCCCTGTTTAGCTTTCACACCTGAGAAGCCTGCCAACAGTGGTGAAAAGCACTTGGTCTCCTGACCTGTTGACTCAACGACTAGAATGTTTCTCTCCGTGCACTTTTCCAGGCTCTCCAAGAGTGAAGGTCTGTGAGAAGGCCCCTGCCTTCCTCCTCCCGGCATTCTTATTTTTGGATTTTTGTACTTTCCAGTCTCCAAATGATACCCTTACTCCATAAATGTAGTTGATTTTGCAGATATTCATGGCTTTGAGAGTGAATTTTTGAAGGTTCCAACTTATTAATTTCCTTTCTGAAGTTTCCTTCAGATAATACTCTTCTAAGTGTTGTTTTTTGAGCACTGTGGCATTTATTAGATGGCCAGCAGGATCATGCTACCTCATGATCTCCTGATTTTTGAGTACATGCCCTCTTCTTTTTTGGAGTATTTAAAAAAACCCAAAGCGCACAAAACCCATACTAGACAGCCTTCTCTATTGTGTCACCGTGTATCTTTTCCTGTCGGATGGAATTCAGTTTCATTAAAACTGTCCTCCTCCTGACCTTGCCCAAACAGGGTTTCTCTTCGGCATGGCCAGCTTGCTTCCAGGTATGAAACGTGTGACGTTTTACTTCTGCCGTGAGAACGTGCGAGCGTTTCGGTGCTGTGCGTGTGCTGAAGGCAGTGTGCAGCCCACGATAGTCACCAGGAAGAAGCCAACTGTCTCCATTGCTTGGCAGCAGTTTGTCACGATGCTCGTTTTCTTCATCTTTCCACTGCTATTTAACATCCAGCCTTTCTCTGCCTGGATGGAGTTACCTTGTCCTCTCCTGTTTACTTGCATTTCTTTATCCCATGTATCTCTTCTTTCCTCCTGGAACACGGTAAAGGCATTGTCCTGTCACGTTGTTGCAGGTGAGACGGAATAAGCAGCAGCTTAGTGTGGATTTGGGGCTTGGTTTACGGCCAGCGAGGCCAAAGCTTTTAACCTGCTTGACCATTCTGCTCACTTGCTTTCCCCAGTCGGTGTTACGTTCGCTAGGTCTTGCCTTCCCTTCCCAGGAGGGAGGTCACTCCTGGCCTGGGACAGCCAGGAGAAAGTGCTCCTGGTTGATACTGTTCGGCTGCTCCTGGTTGCCAGCCTTGGATGTCATGGGTCAAGGTCCTGGGGCATCCCCTGGCATTGGTCTCCACCCACTTCCTTCATCTCCAGGATCTTCTCCTATTTCCAGGTTCTTTATCCAGCCAAAGTCTTCACCTTCTCCCCTTGGGCCCCGTTTTGTTTCTCAGGTCACTTCTGCTTTCTGGGAACCCTTTATTTTGCTTTTAGTGACCCCTATCTCTTGCTTTTCCTCATCTAAATAGCCTGTGATGCCGACACCACGTCATACGCCTCTTTATCGATGGGACGACCTAGGATACGCCGCTGCCGTTGAGTCCCGGGTTTGTCAGGGTTGACAACCAGCACATACCTGTTGTGGGCAACACAGTTCTGCTCGAGAGTACAGGCATCTCATCCCTGCACAAA